TACTAATGCTTTTTTAGTCGCCAAAACCTATACTTTCAGCGACCAAATGTGCTTTTTTAGTCGCCAAAGATGCTTTTTCTTGTAGTAGAGTGTGATTAAATATATATATATATAATATAATCACACTTTAATTAGAATGTGTGATTAAAAAAATATATATATAATCACACTTATTTAAAAAGTGTGATTAAAAAGTAGTAGTGTATATATAATCACACTTTAATTAGAATGTGTGATTAAAAAAATATATATATAATCACACTTATTTAAAAAGTGTGATTAAAAAGTAGTAGTGTATATATAATCACACTTTAATTAGAATGTGTGATTAAAAAAATATATATATAATCACACTTATTTAAAAAGTGTGATTAAAAAGTAGTAGTGTATATATAATCACACTTTAATTAGAATGTGTGATTAAAAAATATATATCTAATCACACTTATTTAAGAAGTGTGATTAAAAAGTAGTAGTGTATATATCGTCACACTTTAATTAAAATGTGGGATTAAAAATATATATATATATATATATAATCACACTTAATTGAAAAGTAACATAAAAAATAAATATTATCACACTCAATCAAATTAAGTGTGATTAAAATATCAATCTAATTTTTTTATCTCACTTCCAATAAAAGTGAGATATTTTTTTTTTGTCAAAGTGTGATCTTTACCTATTTTTGTAGTAGCGAGTATATTGTCTTTTTAAGTCAGGATTTTCTAATTTAGCAATTAATTCAATAAGGGCAATTTCTTCTTGTTGAGATTTACTAAGAACATTAATGGTTTTGCAACAAGTATCATTACAACCTAATTCAATTTCGTTATCAGTGCTATCAGTAGGGGAGTAATAATTAGAAGTTTCACTAGAGGGAATATCATCGGTAGAAGAATTATTAGATTGAAGAGGGGATTGTTTTGGAGAAGCATTTAATTTGAATATATCAAATATTGTCGTTGATTTTCTCTAGTAATTTGTAACTGGTTAAGTTTAGTTTCAAGTTTTTCTTTGACTTTACCTTTGTTAGAATAATGACCCTTTTTTCCACAGTTATAACAGGTAATATCTTTAGTCGATTTGGATTCTTTTTTAGATTTCTTAGAATATTTTTTTTTGGGATTAGTATAATATTTATCTGTTGATTGGGAAGGGTAATGTTTCTTTTTCCCTTTATTGGAATATTTGGAAGAAGATGTTTTATGTTTGTGTTTACTTGATTTGCGTCGTGAGGGAGCTATAGGAGGTAGACCATATTATTCACAGAAATTACCTAATTCATATTTAGCCTTATGTTTATCCTTAGCAGCTTTTTGACTAAGTTTCAAATCAATATACATTTTTAATCCTTCTTTTTGGATTGTGCTAATAATATCGCCATAAGTTAAGTTATCATAATCAATAATACCAGAAGGTTGACTAAGAACATCTCTAATTTTATGGGCAAAAAGACTAGGCAATCCATTAATAAATTTTTCTTTCCAAAATGACTTAGTACAATCATCTCTAAGCATGACTCTAGAAGTGAAAACATCTTTATACCATCGAAAATCATTTAGAGTAGGATAGGTTAAATTGCTTAATTGATCATGAATACGAGAATGATTATTAGTAGGTGTTCCAATAAAATGTTTGACTATGGGATATATTAAAGTATTAATACCACCAGGTATAGTGGAACCTATTTCTTCATCAAAAATGGGAAAGCCCTCATTATTCATTTGAACAGCATATTGAATTGATTCTCATTGATCGGGAGTAAGATATTTATCCCACCAAGATTTGAGGGTACCAGTATATCTAGTAGTGATTAAAAGAACTATTTCAGGTTGAGTATAATCAGGATAGTTATTAAGATAACTATTAGAAACCATTGATAAATGATTGAGTTTGAGAAGCATTTGATGTTCACTAAGACCATCAATATTCCATTCATATAATTTTTTAGTCGAAACAGAAAATTGATTACTAATATTAGTCTCTTCAAATTGGAGATCAGGAGGTGTAGGTTTATTGAACCAATTTTTTGTGAGGGTGGTAGGGTTAACTTTAGAATGTGTGATTTTATTAAGATGAAAATGTTGAAATTGTTGTGCTAGATGATTAATCTCATTATCATTAGATGTGTCAGACTGGGTACGAAATTCCAATGGAGGCTGTTGTGTTAAGACAGTAATTCATTTAGTGTTAGATGCAGATGTTTCTTTACTGGTAGATAATTGACTAAATATTTTTTCAATAGCATCAATAGTGGTATGATCTTGAGTGTTTTGGCAAGTTGGTTTGTGGCTAAAATAGCCACAAAAGACAAAATAGGCTATTTTAGCCACAACAAACAAAACATTACATCCAATCCATAATCATTACACTCTTCTCTCACAAAAAAAACCAAAAAACCCTTCCCAAACCAAGCTTTTTAGCCCAAGCTAAAATAACCAAAAAAGCCAAAAAGCCAACCCACTTCCCAAACGGAGGCTTAATTATTTTCTATTACTAGGAAGATTGATAAGAGGTTTGTCCAAAGGTTTACTGACAGGAGTATGACTAGTAGAATATTCTTCAAAAGAAGTTTCAATCTGATCAAGTTGTTTACCAATCGTTTTTAAACATTGATTGGTATAATTATTTTGCTCAATGACTTTTTTGACCTCGGATGATTCATCACCAGGAAGTTTGAAGGGAGAAGCCGGGACAATAGTTCCTTTATGTTCAATAAGAATTTTCTCTAATGGAGGATGACTAGCTAAAACAACAGTATTGGAGGAGGTCTTCTACTTAGTTTTTGTGATTACATTTATTTGTTGGTAATAATTTTCTAAATAATCAAAGAAATTAAGTTCAATATTGATTTCTATCATAAACTTATACCATTTTTTGGTAATTTTGGATTGTTGTTTTAAATCATATTGTTTATAATAATCATGACGTTTTGACTTATTTGCTTTAGATTTGTATTCAGCATGGAGTCTATTTAAATCAAGAATAAAGGGTTTACTAAGAGTTAATAATTGTGGATTAATAGGAGGAACAACTTCAAAATCAGTTTGTGTAGGTGAATCTTGGGAAACTGTATCTTCTTCTTGATGGTGAGTATGAGTAGAATAAACTGGTTTACTAATTTGAGAAGTAGGGGTGTTATCTATTCCTTTCATCTTACTGTGCGTATGTTGAGATTGAGAGGTGGATTCATTAAGGTGGAGTTTTCTATCCTTCCTAGTGAATAAAGGGGGTATTGAAGATTTCATCCTCATAAGTTTCTGTGGGTAGACTGGATGTACTATGCCTAGTAGATTGACTATAAGTTCTATTAAATCTAATATGAACAGAACCATCAGTAAATTACTGAATATGTTAGATATCTTGACTATCAGAAGATTGTTGATTTTGGGAATAATTTTCATTGACAGTAACCCAATCATTAGGAAGATTGATATCTTTTCATTGAATCATTTTTGGAACAGTAATATTAGTTGCAGTAGTACTGCCTTGGATTAATAAAGTTTTATCTTTTGGACTTTTGGTTAAGGCTTGAACATTTAAATTGGTTTTAATACATTTGTAATAAATTCGATAAATTAAAGTAATATTATGAACACTTTCTAGCATATTAGTAAATTCACCAAACAGTGGGATATTTAATGTTAAAGCTTTTAATATGTGAGGATCACGTACACTTAAAGTAAAATTAGGGAAACAATTAAAATGGACAGGACCTTTATGGAGACCTGATTCCATCATACCCATTACACTAGCATTGTAATTAATAAATCGGGCATCTCGTAAACATAATAAAACTGAAGTGTTTTTACCTTGTTGAGTTAATGGATTTATTCCTACTTGTATTGATCCTAGATGAATAAAATTATGACCAGCTTTGAGATGTTTTCTGATTGCATCTTTAGATAATAACTGACAGGTTTTTTTTGGTTTACTTAAAGCATAAACTTGTTCAACAGTTTTGACTTGTAAATCAACATTAAAGGTAGATTGTAAAAAACTAGTTTTATAAATTTCTTTAGTTTTAACTTTAGGGATATTCCATCCTAAATCAATTTGAACATCTTGATATTCATGTTCTTCTTCATTTAATACTAGTTTTGTACTAGGTATAGGAGCAAGAGTTGTAGACCTAGAGCTAACTGAATAATTACTTCTGAATAATCGACTCATTATGATTTTATAAAGTTAAATCCAATTCCAAAATTCAATTGTAACTTATCATGTTTTCGCATACGGTGTGTTCACTCATACCCTTTCCGGGAACTCCTATATTCTTCAATTGCCTAAACCTAAGGACTTACTCTGGATTGGGACGAAAGGTGGGTGGCTACTGACAGAGTGGAAAACAAGGGACGAAAGGTGGGTGGCTACTGACAGAGTGGAAAACAAGGGATAACTTAAGCAAGAATAAGGAAATTGGGATTTAAATGAAAAAACAAACGAGAAGATTAAGCAGAGTAAATAATTCAACAATAGCATTATATTACGTTAAACTGGATAATTAGAATCAAACAAATTTTCACTAAGCCTAATCGCCCTACCACCACCACTAGTCAGGTTCAAATTTGAAAAATAAATAAATAACTACATTATACAACTTCTATAATAAAGGAAAATAATTATCACAAAAGATATCAAATTTCTTACCATAAGAATCGAAACTGCAATCTCACACTACATTGGCCCTGTTTGGTAGAGCTGTGGGAAGTGATTATAGATTATAACTTAACAGATTATAGCTTATAGATGTGAGCATAAGCTGGTAACCTGTTTAGTATAGCTGTTGGATTATAGATTTAAGCAGCAGAGTAGTGTTTGATAAATAAGCTGTAAAATAGCTTTTTGTTGTGTAATTGTCAATTTTGCCCTTATGAACAGAAAAATTGTAATTTTGTCATTTTCTTCTCTTTAAATTTTGAAAAAGTTATTTCATTAATGGAAGTTGATTAATTATTACCTAACTTGGTACATTTTTACATTACCTCAATTTTTTTTTTTTAATATATTGAGTTGACAAGAGAACAAAAAAATGTCATTGCAATAAAAATACAATAATTACGATTAAGGCAATAAAAATAAAACTTCCTAAATATTTAAAGATCTTCTAATTTCGTCTGCAAATTGACATATAAATATTATGTCTCCTCACTTCCATTTCATTGTCATCACAATCAACACATTTCCATGGCGTGCTTGTTGAGACGAAAATCCTTCATCTTCATTAGGCACATAATCCGTGAATCTATCATAAGAGTCAAATGCAATATCGCGAAACTGACTTCGTCAGATGAAATTATGAATTGCCATTGTTGCACAAACAAGTTTGACTTGGGTCGGCCACTTGTAGTTTGGTGGGATATCTTTTATCATCGGCCATCTTGCTTTCCAAACCCTAAACGTTCTTTCTATTACACTTCTAAGTGATGAATATGCTTGGTTGAATTTTTCTTGTGCATTTTGAGAGGGTTGACCATGTGTCAAATTGAGGTAGATGGTATCTCTCTCCCTTGTAAGGTGCAAGATATCCTTTCATGTTTGGATGCCCAACATCCATCAAATATAACTCATCTATTTAAAAAAAAAAATTTAAATTAAAGTAAGCAATTATAAATATAAAAATAAATATGGAGATATGAGTGTGGTGCATCTACTATAGTAATCAAATATAAAACAGTTACCTCCTCGTGGTTTTGGAAAATTATAATTAGGATTTCTAATTGTATCCAAGAAGATTCGAGTATCATGTACACTTCCTTCCCATCTTGATAAGCAAAATGTGAAACACATATCAAAGTCACATGCGGCCGTTATGTTTTGAGTTGCATATCCCTTTCTACCTATTAAACGAGGTTGCTTATCTAGAGATATATATGCTTTGATGTGTGTTTCATCAATTGCTCCAATACAATCCTATTAAAATAGTTCATAAAATTATTTTTAGTCGAAGATTATTAGAAATATCCTACTAACATTATTATATGTACACCCAAGTTTCACTTGTAATAATTTTTTTACCTTAAAATGAGGATAATATTTGCGCTTGCTTCGAATATATGGATGCACACCATTTCTCGATTGAGGCCTTACCTAATCAATAGACATTATTGTAACAACTTTTAACACCTTCTTGAACTATTTTGAAATAGTCTTGCTAGAAATTTGAAATCTTTCTTGGACATTTCTATTTCGAATATCACCGCCAACAATGTACAAAAATATTGCAACCTGCTCCTGAACCGAGACTTTTCGTCAAGTTTTAAGGCCATACTTTGTCTGTAACAAATCACACAATTGATAAAACATCTCTCTTTCCATTCGAAAATTTTCAAATATTCTTCTTCGATTCCCTTCTTGTAATTCTACCATCCACGTCCCCCTGTTAAACTAGATGACCTACATGGTTCTTTTATCAAATAATTTGTCGCATATGTCACTACAACTGTTGCCGCCGTAGCTAAGAGCATATTATTATTATGTTGTTGGGTTTGCAATGTGCTGCCTTCATCTTTAGTATCTTCATCATGGTGATCATCATTCCATTCATCATCACTGTTACTCATCTCCAAAATACCTATCCATTTAAAGGCTTAGTTACTATTACAAGAATGACCTTACTTTCTTGTAATTAGACTTTAGTCCAAATTTAGCATATAAATCATCATGACTTCAAGAAAAATTAAGAAACATCAAATTTTTAAAGAATAAATTAAACTTTTATTCTTATAGTTTAACTCAAATTTCATTTTCAATTTTAATAATTTAGTCCATACAAATTATTTTCATACTTAAATCTAGATTCAACATGGGTATATTACAGCCTCTATGGATAGTTTCATAATCAGGTTGCATCATATTCCATCACCCAAACAATCCCACAAAGTTTACAAACAGAAAGTCATATATACTGTGCAAAGAAAGACAATGTGAGCGGCTATCAAATACTCTAATATTTTTGTACCCTTGTAGACCCCCTTTATGATCCATAATTTTAGCAGTTCCATAGTTACAGAAACAGTAATTCCATTCCACAAAACATTTTTTACCTCTTTGAATCCAAGAATGTCCACCAGTCATGGACTATGAAAGAACAATTGCTGTGCTAATAAAGAAACAAGTATTTTTTTTATAAATACTATAACAAGTATTGTGGTTGGCAAGTGATAGTTCTTATTTAGACAGTATGAAAATTTTGAGTGAAAATAATATAAAATATTTTTTTTAATATCAAATTTTGAAATGAAAGAAGACCAATCCCAATTTTTTTAATTGCATTCCCTTCCACAAATCCTTCCATATGAGCTCAAAAAAATTAATTAATTAATAAAATGAGGAAACAAAACTCGCCCCATAACAGAAGAAGAATTAAACTTCCAAAAACAAAAATGTATAAAAACAGAACAAGTAAAAGATAAAAAATCAGAATAAAAATTTGCAAACTAAATAGTTGACTTGTCAGCATTTTTGCAAGATATATAAATTAGAACCAACAACAACATGCAAATTTAACTTCCTAAAATTTTACCTGCAATGAACACAGCAATACAACAACAACAGATTGAAATTCAAACCAGAAATAGCTCCAAATTCAGCACAACAATAGCAACATCCACAAATTCAGCACAAAAGAGATGAAAATTCAGCACAACAAATAAATACAAGACACCATCTACATATATATAAAAGTTGTCACCATTCACATACCATTCATATTCAAAATTGAAATCAACCATTCAACCATTCAACTAACATTCAACCAGTAAACCATTCACCTACCATTCAATTGAGAAAATGCCACCTATCCAAATATTAATAATAAAAGTCCAACATAGTCAATTAATCAAAGTCCAACATAGTCAATATTAATCAAAGTCCAACAAAATATTAATAAAAGAAAAAAAAATGAGTCAAACACAACAGTCCACAAGTAATAATAAAAGTCTTAAACATGAAATAATTACGAAATTCAGAAACATCCAACTTCAGAAACAATTAGCCGCGATAACCTATGGTGGTCTTCTCCATCTCAATCTCCAACTTTAGAAACCTCAACTGAACTTCTTTCGTCGGAAGAGTCATGAAGCACTCACGACGCTTGTCTCGTTAGAACAATTTGGTAGCCCATACATACAGCTCATCATCCGGGGACACACCAGGGATGCTTTCAAACTTCGCCAAACATTCTACAATTAAAGGATATCTTGATGAGGTCTGTGTTGAAGTTGTTGAAGATGACTCAACCACATTGACTATACGATCAAGTGTCTTGTTAAGTAGAGCTACATCAGTAAATTTCTTCTTTGTCTTGCTCTTGATTGATGAACTATCAGTGTTTGATGGACGTTTTTTGTTTAACTCGGAAGGATGAACTACCTCCAAATCAGCATCATCATCAAATTTAGCATCATATGGGGTCTGAATTTCCTCCAGAGTCTCATCAGTGTGAGGCATAACCCCTGAGCTAGGAGTGTATGTCCATTCTCTTGTAGCACCTGTATTTGAGAATAGTATGTCTAAGTTTTCAGCGAATTGCAATGGCATACGGCGAAATTTAGTAGCATCGGGATACCTCTGCAACAATTACAAAGGAAAATTTAACAATTTCAAGTAACAAAATTTGGTCTGTTTAAACAAAAAAACAAATACAATATGTTCATCTTCAGCAATTCACTTACCTCTAATTTCTTGGTCCATCACTCATCAGATGCAGATATAGCTCCAGTCAATGTATCACGGCCTAAGCTTGTCTCACCCCTTAATAGATTATTCCACAAAAGCCAATCTTTTTTCAACACATCCCATTGGTTTTTCATTTGTATTCGTTGGTATGCTTTTCCAGTTATACTTTTAAACTTAGTTATTACATTTTCCCACCCGACCCTATCTAAGTGTGTACTAGGTCTGTGTCCAACATTCACTTGCTCAACACATAGCTTAATAAAAATTTCATTTGATTTTGCATCCCAATGAGCCTTAACGGATGGTACTTGAGAGGATTTTCCTTTGTTTTTCCTATTTTTAGATTGTGTTTCTTCTTAGGTACTCATTCTATGAAGGAAAAAAAAATTCTTTAACACATACTCATTCATCATTGCTTGCATTAAAACATAAGATTAGTACAAAATAACCATACATGGAAAGTAGGGTAGACATATCAACATTGATTGGGTACACAACTTAGCACAAAAATACATAGTCTAAAAGCCACCTACAATCATTTGAAAAGTAATACAACTAACAGAACAATACAAATTGTGAGCCAAACCATAACAAGTTGCTTCATGAATGTTAACGATTGCTCAAGCATTTGATTCTTGACTTTTAGTCCTACAGTCTCGATGTTTTGGTTTTGATAAAGATTTGTCTCGTTCCTCTACCTTCCTACCATCCTCACAGATTTTGGGGTACACCACCTCCAAAATTGACAATTTTTCTTCTCACAAATGACATACAGTCTCCCTTTTGATGGCTTCTCAAACTCGGTAACCCTCATGGCAGCTCTTACACCACAATCACATTTCAAAGCCTCATACCTCAAATCCAAGGTCTCAGCACTGGAAGAATAGTTACTAGAGGATGACATGCCTCTGCATTAATTAGGAAGATGTAAGTCTCTTAATGAAATCTAGAACACAATCCATAATTGGTTGAAGTTTTGAATCATTATCATTATGTTTAACTAGAGCATGCTTGCTAATAAATTCTTTAAAAAGTAGTCATTTTTTCTTTTTCATTATTATTTTTCCTGTAATACCTTAAAGATCTGCCAGATGTTAGTAAGTGTAGTTTCATTCTTCTCTGGATCTTACTTGTAGCTGTCAGATCTACTATCTTGATTTTATGTAGTTTTATAATTCCATGGGTTGTAGATGAATGCATTTATTCATCTTTTTGGTGGATGAACTCTTTATTTTCATTCTCTCGTTTTTCCTTTCATTTATGTTTTTGGCATTCAATTCAACCTATCTTGCTAGTTTATGAGTTGCTATTTTTACCATACATGTAGCTTCAATACCTATCAATTGCTCATTGATATACCAGCCATGTATGGTATGGCTCATTTGGTTAAGGTTTTAGGAAGTCATAATCTTCTTGTTGATTAAAATCTATTGGAAGATTTGATTAAAATCTATTGAAGTCATAATCTGCTCATTGATATACCAGCCATCTATTTGATTAAAATCTATTAAAATCTTCCCTTCCATTTGTAGATGAATGCATTTATTCGTCTGGCATGCTTTTTGATTGGTTTAACTATGACTTTTAGTAATTAGGCAAGTTCCAATACGAATGAAGATTACAATCCTTTTACTTCTAAATTCTTCATAATATTTATCAGTTTCTTGTAATTGTTCTTGTTGTTTGGATTGTTTATTTCTGCACATAATGTTATTTGAGGTATAATTTGCACAACAAAGAACTTAAAAATTGTAGTGAGGTTAACTTAAAAGAAACCCTGTCATAATGAGTTTTTTGCTTTAACTGGCAGTGTTTAAAAACACCTCAGAAAATGATAAATCAGTATGCACAATAGTAAACAACACCTATAAGGATGTAAACAATGAAGAACATGGGTAAAGGCCACAAAGAAGAGATCTCCAAGGCTAAATAGATACCAATACATAGCAGCAAAGATATTATTGTACTAATTGGCATATAAGGCTGAGTAAATTGTATTGAAAGACTACAAGCTCTCAGACACAAAGAAAGTTGAAATCTGTAGTGGGAAACAGATGTCCTCAATTTGTTGTGATTGTAATGCAAATAGAAATGTGAAAGGAAGGACTGGATAGGATGCAAATGAAATGCTGCTGTAGAACAGATATGGATCTGCATGTGAATCCTCAATATTCCTTCTTACATGGAAATTCTGAAAAGAAATTGCACAACTGTATAGAAATGTACCAACATTTGTAGCTAGATTTTCAAGTATCATCCATTCAAAAAGATCAAAATATTTAATTAAAAAAAGATACCCATTAGTATGACCAAATTGTGGGTTTACTCTTTACAAACTCCAGGAAATGGAATTCAAACAAATTGGCCAGTATCAACATGTTCATTCACTAAATTCTCTTCAACGCACAAAAAGAATATTTAAAATTACAAAAGTAACAAAATAAAAACAATTAACAAACATAATTTAATTTTGAAGCTAGAAGCTCTCATTATCTCAACATGAAAATTCCCAAATTTCTTTTGAAAATTCTAAAGATTGATAATTAAAAAAATTCAACAAGCAAAACTCACACAAAATAATTATCTCAATATTTAATCAGGAACATTTTTCACCACCTAAAAATGATATTTCACTTCTTCCACAACCAAAACATAAAAGGCCGAGCTCATTCATGGAAGCCAACAAAAGCGAATCCTTAACATGGGTTTGCAGTTCACCTCAACTAATAACAAATCGCAGTCAAAAGGGAGTTTTCAACCCTCATCACAGAGTGAAGAAGAAAGAGAAGACACCATTTCACATAACCAAAAACAAAACCCTAATCGAGTCCATACATGTATTACAGTTATGAAATCTTACCTTTTCGGTGTAGATGAACGAAAAAACAGGGAGACGACTGCTTTTAGAGAGGTAGACGACAGTTCTATAAGCTCGATCTGTTGTGATTAGAGAGGTCGACGACTGTTTTCGTGGGTGTTGGTAGAGCTTCTTCTCGGTTGCCAGAGGAGAGGAAAATAGGAAAGAAGAGTGCGAGAGGCAAGAGTTAGGGCAAGAGAGATCATCAAACGGGCATATATAGTGGCATTTTCATAAATAATGGAGATTAGGAGGGGCATTTAAGTCATTTCACCCCACCACACAGCAGCTGCGCGCTTAAGCTAAATTGATAAGCATCCACTGACCAACTTCTCAAATAAGTTGAAAATTAGCTTTTATTTAAGCTATGAGTTGGTCAAATAAGCTGAACCAAACACAAATTTTTAGCTTAAATTAAGTTAAAAGCTGAAATAAGCTGCTTATAAGTTCTACCAAACACCACCAATGATTGTTATAAAATCACTAGGCCCCTAGTTTATCAATTAGATTAGTTCAACTTATTAGTATTGTATAGTTTTTCAATTCTTATCAAAAGTAAAGATTAATTATTTTTCCCCCTATTATTATACTTTTTCTTATGTTATTTATTTATTTCCTCATTATGAAAGTATTTTCTTATACTAATGTTATAGTTGTTCGCGTTGAGCTTGCGGTTGACAAGTATGAGATATGTGTGCCTTAGGCATAATAGGGGGTGATGTGCTCCTCAGTGTGGACATTCATTTATGTTTTGAATCATTTAGCTTGGAAGAATTGTTGAGGAGATTGTTATAAAAGTTGTGTAGTTAAATAATACATATGTATTCATATTTAACACTTTAAATTTCAGAATAAGAAACATGTTGAAAAATTACAAGTAGATGAAACAAAAATACATAATAAAATAAAATGGCAGAAGGAAGCAAATCGAAACCTGCACTAGACAATTTTCTTAAAACAAATTCGCCGCCTCACCGATTGGGGTGCTGGAGGTTGTTCGACGTATGTCTCTCAAGATACGACGGTTGGACCAGCTACAACCCAGTACCTATGGTGTAGTTTCAGCGAACAAAACTCAAGTAATACTTTCTCACTAGGAAGA